CATATGAGATGTGATATGTATGTAATATTTGGAACTATTCAGAATTACCTACTAAATTAATTCTTCTAACTTTTCAAAAAAAAGTTCAAGTCATTTAGATCAATTTCAAAAGAAGGAATTGTTTTAAACAGTGTCCGAATATTAATGTGAGTCACTATATAATCCTAAAATATGAGTCGATTTATCAAAGGCGTTTATGGGTAAGTGAGGAAGCAGCAGATTGCGTTGTAGTTCGAAAATCGTGAGTTCAAATCCCGCCGGAGGTAAATAAAAATTTGAAAGATTTTGTTCGTCATTTTCATGGAATCCAGTTACAAGAAATAAATACAGTTAACTAAAATCTACCAACAAATAAAAGAAAATATATAAAATTAAAATTTAATTTTGTTTTAAATCTCAATTTTCAAAATTTATTCAACATTGTCCAAATATTCAATATACACGTCTTCTAAACATAAATTTCATTTTAACGTTCATTTCAAAATGTGGAAATGTCCACACCGAACGTTGTGGGAATGTCCACATCGAACAACCCAAGGACGTACATAGAATGTCCACGCCATACATCCCAAGGCCGTCTGTTTGGACGTTATCTGGACATCCATAGGACGCCCCAAACGTCCAGTACCGGACCTCTTATGGATGTACATAAGACGTCCCTGTGCTATCTAGGACGTAAACCCTCCATTTCTTAAACCACCGAATAATAAATCGGTCAAACTTCATTCAACATACATAGGATGCCATCATATAAAAGGTTTCCCGTTTTGTTTTTCAATAACAAAACGCGGTTGTGGTGCTAAACACTAAAGCAGCGTCATCTTTCACGTTTAATCGTAATCGTGAGTACTTTTATTTAATATAAAAAGAATCCATTTGTGATTTATTTAAGAAAAGTCTTAAAACCCCTTAACTGGACTATTGAATGAAATTTATGCAAATGTTTGATTTAGATATGATTTGAAAAATGTTTGATTAAAATATAGTTTGACGAATATCTGAAGACATTGCAAATGTGGTAGCTACACGTCTAAACCAATCCCTTCGTATAGGCAATAATAGGCCCTTTCATGTGATGTATGGAGTATTGCTGGAGCCCCCCCCCCCCCCCGAAAGGGGGGGGCGAAACAACAACAATTCATATTTTTAAATGGGATGCCATATAAATTTTTGTTATTTCGAATAGCCCTTTTAATAACAAATAATATTTATTTGAACATTCTTTTCATATTCTGCACAGTTTATGAAATATGACAAAAAATATTGTTCGTTAAAAGATCTTCAATGTGGGGTTTAGATACTATTAAAATCATACCATGCAATTTTATAGCTTTCAAATTTTATTATCTAGAGACGCGGTAGCGTCTCGGCGCCAAGTATATGAAAAATTATGTGTCACCGCGTATATGTACCTGGCATTGGAGCTACCACGTATCTTTTACAGGAGAGATAGTCCATTCCAACCTAACCTGAAACTTCTTCTTTCATGAATATCTCAACACGCCTGCAATATTTTCTAAATTTAAAAGCATTTTTCTCATGTAAACCGCATATAAGCTTTCGAATAAAACCAAAATCAATAAAATCGGTCCACGTTCAACTGACATATCGTAATATCACGTCACGAATCTGTCAGAAACAGTATTTTTCGTATGATTTTCTCGTCGTCAACCCTTAGCCAATAGGAGCTAAGCAAAGTCGAGTGTCGATCGTCGACTCTCGGAATCATTCGGTTCGCCATGGCTCGTCGGCCATCGAGCGTCGAGCTGCCAAGTGTCAAAAGCTTTTACACTATTGCATTATTAATTATATTTATATCAGCAAAATGTTTTCAATTTAGACTTTCTATGTAAGGGTTTAATAACAAATTGCAGCCAGTGTTGTAAAGTGTTGATCGATCTTGACTATAAGGTAAGTTGTCAAAATCTGAATTCCGAGATACCTTTGTTCATACAGAAAACTGTTTTTAATATAGATCCATATCACTAAAGTGTTTTTAATTTAGACTTTTTATGTAGAGCTTATAGAAATGGAGTCATTTTCTCATTTCATCATTAACATTTAAATTTCTTGCAGCAAGAAAAAAAATTGCAGGTATATATAATTATTTATACATTGAACGAATAAGTGTTTATAATTAATAAATTATATATATATATTTCATATATGAAATGAGAAAATGACTCCATTTCTATAAGCTCTACATAAAAAGTCTAAATTAAAAACACTTTAGTGATATGGATCTATATTAAAAACAGTTTTCTGTATGAACAAAGGTATCTCGGAATTCAGATTTTGACAACTTACCTTATAGTCAAGATCGATCAACACTTTACAACACTGGCTGCAATTTGTTATTAAACCCTTACATAGAAAGTCTAAATTGAAAACATTTTGCTGATATAAATATAATTAATAATGCAATAGTGTAAAAGCTTTTGACACTTGGCAGCTCGACGCTCGATGGCCGACGAGCCATGGCGAACCGAATGATTCCGAGAGTCGACGATCGACACTCGACTTTGCTTAGCTCCTATTGGCTAAGGGTTGACGACGAGAAAATCATACGAAAAATACTGTTTCTGACAGATTCGTGACATGATATTACGATATGTCAGTTGAACGTGGACCAATTTTATTGACTTTGGTTTTATTCGAAAGCTTATATGCGGTTTACATGAGAAAAATGCTTTTAAATTTAGAAAATATTGCAGGCGTGTTGAGATATTCATGAAAGAAGAAGTTCCAGGTTAGGATGGAATGGACCATCTCTCCTGTAAGAGATACGTGGTAGCTCCAATGCCAGGTATATATACGCGGTGACACATAATTTTTCATATACTTGGCGCCGGGACGCTACCGCGTCTCTAGATAAATGAAAAATTGTCGCTGAAAACCAAAAAAACAAAAGATAAACCTCCAATTTAAGTAAAACACTTCACGTAATAGTTAGTATGTACAAAATACAGTATATCTCTCGTGGGCCACCACGCGGAAAGTATAATTTTCATTGGAAGAGTGCCAAGTTTCAATGTCAAATGCCTTTGGCTTTTCCTTTTAAGACTTACACAACATATCCGTTTTCTGTCTATGATTACAATTATTCCAAAAAAGTTCTACCTCGTGCCAGATGAAATGAACCGGAACAATATAATTAGTCTGAAGTTCCTAAGGATTTTTATTCGCGTGTTTATGGACTCTAGCCATTTACATAAGATGAGTTTGGATAATTGAATGAAGGACCTTCGAGACGTTACCCATTTCCCAGGCAGTCGTAAATCTAACTTCACGTGATACCTTGATACATTGACATCCATTTCGACTTCAGAATCTTTAACACACTTATCTTCGAATTCCCATTTCGAAACCGATTGAACCATCGTCCACAATTCCCAACATAAAATTATATTTTCGTTTCATTATACACATCGCGCAATTTTTAAAATCCACGATTAGACATAGGCAAAACTTTTACCGAAATATACCAAACTTCGAATAATAAGTGAAAGGTAAAGAAAATAGAAAATAAAATTAAATTGTAGAATGAAATATTTCAAAATGAACAAATTAAAGTTAAATATTCAACGAAATGAAACGTCACGAATAAATTGCTGGACATTGATTTTATTCGTCATCTGTTGAACGAATAAAATTTGTTACTTCTGAAATTTTGCAGTAATTAGTACACAATAGCAGAGTACTAATTTCTAGCCTGCAGATATTTATGCTAGTTCATGTTTTGGCAGATTTCGATAAAGAATTGTGATTTAAATGAAAGTATGTCTTATCTTGTAAACAGTGTAACGTACATTTAATTGTTAATATTTGATATATTTTTATATTCATACACATCCTCATACATTTTCCTACATTATTCGCAATCTACTAATCACATTGCTATTTTTCAAACGTTTTAACAGATCGTCTGTAAGAGTGAAAATACTACATCAGAGAAAATTTCGTTTAATTTGAATTATTTATGGGAAGTTTATATGTGCTCCTATACAATTCAAAAAAAAAAAAAAAATAATAAGCCTTCCCTAGGGAACTCATCATTTTGATTTACAAAGAACAACTACAATCATTATTTTAATTCATAAAAATAGCAAGTCGATCATTCCCTCATGTACTTTATTTTTCTTTCCTTTAATTTCACATTTATTGAAACGTATCATCTGTCAACATTTTCTTTGTTAGTACCTAACGATAAATCACGAAACAGCAATGATTTATCCATCACTAAATACATTATAATTTACAACCTTTTAATGCACGTCAAGCTGCACCTGAAGAGATCTTTAACTCGAATCTGTCAAACTTGACCACTCGATGAAATTATACGATAACTAATGTCACCGTATACTTACCACGGTGATTTATCTGTTAAATCTGTCAGACCTTGATCCTGATGTTCAACGGTTTCAACGTAGCACATACTTTGCGTCAAGCGTACTGAACCTGTTCGCTACTCTAAAAAATAAAATTCAAAGGAAACGAACCGCAGGTATACAATTATCCTGCACGTTGAAATGGTTTTTATTGCTTCAATATCCCGCGATCCATGATCAGAAGTTTCCATGTGTGTCTCGTTGTGTCTCGCTAAGTTTCTGGAAACGTAATAACCCAACAATTCTGTCGTTAGATTTTTCCTTTTCCAGCGATTCCACGTAATTTCAACAATATTCAATTTTTCCTGGGGACGTTTAACAACGAGTAAATGAATAGCGTTTGGAAAGGTTTGTCCTACCTTATTCCTATAATTTTTCGCTGCAGGAATATATTAATTTGCCTCTTTATCACAGCTAACGCGACGTCCTGTCTCTGTCGCAATGATCCTGTTTCCCTGTTTACGCAGATGAGCAAAACTTTATTCAGATGATAGAATAATAAAGCCAATGCACAGCAATTTATTCTCTGAACATCTTAAATTTTTATTGCAAAGTATTTTATATTAAAAACCAAATTCTAATTTTTTATTTAACAAATACCGGTAGCTTAAGTTTTATTCTTATTTAAAATTTTAATATACTTAGAAATTTTAATTTTTTTCTTCTTTTTGGTCACAGAATTTGATTTAAAACAATGAATAATGACCAACTTCTTTAACATTAATGTGATATCTAGCGAATTTTTTTATTGATAATATGAGATACAGTAACTTCATTCATTTTAAGTTTCTTTTTAATTTTGCTTGTGCATACTAGATTTCATTAAATATAGACAGTGCTATAAACGGTATTTTGTGGCAATGGAAAAACAACGAAAAATGTCTTACTAATACAAATTATTAAATAACATATTGAAACATTAAATACATCCTATGTAATCATAGGACTGCAAGTTTTCAAATAATAGATTCATAAAGTGTATCTAAAATGAACATTCTTTCCTCAAGACAGGAACAATATTCGTTTTTCCTGAACATCTCTAAGAATTTACTCAATGACTGTATATTTTACGATCGTAAATATACACAATAGACAGATTTCCATCGAGGTAAATTTTTCCAGCAGGAAGCCATCGATCAAAAATAAGGACACCGACTAACGAGACATCATCGCGGGGAGATGAAACTAAATACAATTAGTGATATGTCGCATGTTTCCTAAGAACGCAGTTGTTCCCCGTGGTATTTCTCAATTTTTTGTCATCTGATTCACTATTGCTGTCGGTACTTCAGCTGATTGGCGAGTCTACGAAACGCGAGACGCTAATTGCTCTTAGGAACAGTGGAGAAGTCTCGTATGTGCATCGATGAACTGAAAAAAAGGCCTTGATTCGTGCGTCATGAGAAGAACATTCTCAGAATACAAAGCGTAGGATACGTGGTTTCGCGAGAAGTTTGGAAAATCGAGTCGAGTTCGCGTTCGAAAAATGAAAGGCGATCGGAATGTTTGACGATGGTAAGAAACCTTGAAGTGTCTTGACGTTATTAAATAATTCTTATCATTTTTCGGTAAACTACTTGTGGAAATCTCATACTTGGTATACCATGTTATTATTCTATTCCATGCTGTATCATTAATATTTCCTTATAAAGTTGTAAACATTACAAGAGTCAACCTGATAATCGATAAATTACAAATGGAAAAATTCATACGATTACTATAATACTACCATAATCATTGAGATCTAATAATCAATAGTATACAACAAGCTTATTTCTCTAAATAGAACTATTAAATAAATAATAAATAAGTTGTCCCCAAACATTAGTCTCATACGTTATTGACAAAAATAAACAAAAATGATTAACTAACACAGATCATTAGTTTCCAAATTGCAAGACCTCTACACGTACACCGATGTTCGATATCCGCATAACAGGCTTCAATCGTGTCCCCAGGCAATATTGTACACACCCATCTTATTTTTCTCAGTTTCTGTTTATATTGTCTGGTAAATGAAACCACTAGTAACGCGCGAACGTATGTATTCCCAGCCAATGTTTATTCAACACTTTTTGTTCATTACCACGTGTACAACATCAATTTCCGTTCTCGGCTCGAATAAGACAAGTTTTCGGGTCGTTGCGATTTAACCGCAGCTTATTCGCTCATCGACAACGAGCCTGTTCCCGCCTCGCATGTGACGTTATCCATCCACTTTTTGTGGCGTCTACTTATACACAGAGGTAACTGCCGTAACACCACGCTATTGCCGATACCAACAATTGTTCGCAGACAATTTTTTCTTCCATCCTTCCGTCTATTTTTCATACAGATTTCACGCCTGGGAACGCTTCTACACGTACGATAACACATACAATAACCGGATAATTGCTCCCTAATGCAAATCGATCGATTAGAAACGAACCTTGAACGCGACGGAACTGCTAATGCTACGTGGGGGCTCGATTATGGAAATTACACTGGTAATAAACTCGTTCATTCGGAATCCTACTTTTAATTACATTCCTCGATTGCGTGATCAATCGGAGTCCCGTTTGACGAGGATATCGGTCTCTTCATCTGTCCTATTGTTCGCGAAAATTTAATCACGTTACTTTTGTGTTCCGTGGTTCCGAGTAGGCTTGGAGTCGTCATGTTGGGAAATGTAGAAGCAGGAAGTGCGTCACGTCGAATAATGTAACTTTGAAAACCATGTAATGATATTTGGTTCAAGGTAATTATTCCGTGGATTTATTTAATGAAGGATTTTAACAAAAAATCATTTGATTTCGATTTAAATTGATCATTTCAGTTTTATGAAAACTGCTACCGAAATTTTATAATTTTAACACAGACTCTTATGGAATATACAGATTTTCAGGTGAATTTTTTAATTTAAATCAAAATGCAATTTAGGAACTTGCTGGAAATTTCATATGTTAAAAAACCCGACGTTAGAAACTATTAAAAAAAAACTACTAATTATTGATCGCGTTGTTAATAAGATATAATTTCTTAAAATCTGAAACGGAACGTAGAGAAGTTGTTTAGTAACAGACAGTTGCCACAATCATTTCTCGAGTAATACGAATACGGTGTGTTACCCCCTTTTCTTTTGTACGTGAGGAATTGCGTTTACGCACACCCTCTCAGATGGAGGGGGTAGTGTGGGACTCGCCCCTTGATTTGATATCAAGGGGAATACCCCCTAAAACCTCACGGTGGTCGTGCACCGCGCTCTAGGAGGGGCACCGGGATCTCACAGAACACTACCGGTGCTCTCCAGCGCCAGCTTCGCTATTTCATAGCGGAGCGCCCTCTCTTGTGGGGAGGAGACCTCCCCACCTGACCGCGGGCGCCACAGCCAGCGATCTCGCCTGTCCCTTTTAGTCGCCTCTTACGACAAGCAGGGATTACTGTGGGCGTATTCAGTTCCCCGCCCTACAAGGAAGACGGTACGTTACCCTATGTTAATAAAATAAATTTGATGTGCATTTTTTATTGTGCTTTATATATACATATAATAGAATTGTAAAAGATTATTTAGAAGATTTGAAGGAGAATGAAACATTAAAAGTTATGAGTTGGTCATCTGAAAATTCCGATTTAAATTTCATAGTATAATTTAACTTATAAATAATTTTAAGTAAACTATGAAAAGGTTATTTATTCAAATTAATATACAATCTTTTGTTCGCAGTTTGTGAAAATTACTCGAGTTACTCGAGTTACTCGAGCCAAAGAGACTGAACTCACTATACAGTAACGTGTCACATAAACTGGAAGTCTATGTCTTACAACTCCTTTTTTTGATTTGCACTTTTCATAAACTGTTTAAATTAAACAGACGTAGTATGTACGTATAGAAAAATCACTTATAAAACACGTCTTATAACAGGTTTTTCAAAAGATGCTTTGATATTTTAATTTTTTCGTAAATCAAAAATTATACCTAATTTAATGATATTGAATTACTTTAATTTTAAATGAAAGTACACACAATTAGAATTAAACGCGAACGAAGATTTCGTATATATGTTACTAAAATATTATAAGTGGAAAAGAAAATCCTGAAATTCCTTTTCGGAAACTCTTTACAATATAAACTTATATATATTAGTATACATTGTTTCATTTAAAGAACCATTACCGAATTACTTACTACATATCATTTTTTTAAAATCTTTATATCTCTTTTCTCGCTAAATCTATTGAAATCGTTAAATGAAATAAACTAAATCCTGTTTCAGACAGGGCTCTTCAGTAGTTTATCATGATATGAAAGGGCTAACGACGAGCACAATCCACTTTCAAACTATAACTCGCGATAATGGGCAAGATGGCACCTACATTGTGTCGCAACAGTGTTTCCTTGAGGAACAATATGCTCCAAAGATAGGTGGACGCCGAGGCTTGAACCGTTTAAATCAAACTTTCGCTTCATGGATAATCATTGGGCGTCTTTCACTCGGCTACGGGAAAGGTGGAAAAGTCGCGTAACGTGGAAAATCCCTGGACGTCATAGTGTGTTGACATGCGCCGCAACTGGGTGAAAATGGAACGCCAATGACGGCAGTTGCATTCATGTGATTTTCACTTACAACGATAAAAAGACTCGTTGCCTGATTACGTCTATCGCGACCGTTACGACGCAGGTATATACAACAAAACAAACTAGGTAGGTGGTATTATTAAGATGGTAATTTTAAGGGGTACTGTTTTATTATTATCATTTTCCAGGCAATCTTTATGATTATTTTCCAGGAAAAGTGATCGACATACACTTCTGAAATTTGGTAGGTTTATTTGTACGTGTATATGTAATAGTGTGTTAAATTTACAATTGTTGTGCTGAATTTATTTCGATATTATAAATAATATTTACGTTAGGTGAAATGGACCTAGAATGTTAACTCAACTGAGTCCATTCTAATAGAATGTGATTACGGCGAGCGTTGAGGATAGAAATATTATTTAAAAATTGAGAAAATGGTGACACTTTAAATTTATGCCTCCGATTTCTTTACGTTATTTACATTCTTTGTAGCTGGAAGAAAGTAGTCATTTTTAAAGTATAAAAAATATCTTGGTTCTAGACATAGCTTGAAGTGAAATGCGTTTTTTGAGATATGGCATTAATATATTTGAAAGTATGAAGATTTATTTGTGAAGATTATGAAGATATTCGTGTTCCATCAGTATAACAGAACGGTTCCTTATTGAAAGTATTATCTGTTTTCACAGTCTCTCTGCAGAATTACCTACTGCATGGTTGGTCATCTACTTCCTGATCAAAATGATCTTCTTATCCCTCCATGAGCTGTGAAGAGACTATACCTGGAACTTCAGTTGAAAAATTCGAAGATAATCCCACCAGTTGCTTGGTATCTTCTACTTCAATGGCATCTACAGCAATCTTTCTTATTAGAATAAATAAATAATCTTCCAGTAGTTATATCTCTAATGTTTAGATAGTTGAGCAACTTAGAATGAAAATACCACAATTTATACTCCTTTACTCAACAATGAACGAACATTTCTTAATCACAGATTCTGCTATCTTTCGTTTACACGTTCATGAGATGGGCAAATACAAGTTTTTAAATTCTGCACACGTTTAAAGTAAAAAAAAAACGTTTTCTCTATCTTTAATACTTCAATTTTTCTGTAAACTTATTTAGGAAAGATTAGGATTCCTAAACCTGACCAGTAGAGGTTAGGTTTCTATAATATCACTTGAGCTACAACTCGTCTCTTTGTACTTTTGTTTCCTTTCCTCATTACTATGCCTTTACTAATTTTTTCTACCATATCGTATTTATTTTGTTAACAGAGAGTACAATGAAGTTATAAAAAGGAGCGATTATTTATTATAACCTCACTTCTATTGTTCAATCATGGTATTACGCATAATACCAGTTGTTATTACTTTAAATACGCACATCAATCGCACATATAAGACAAAAAGTTTTCAAATCAGCGTAATAATTTATGTAATATCATTTAATTTATTCTCAATAAAATATTAAATGTATCATAACCTCACTTCTATCGTGCAACCAAGTTCTACTACCAATTTGTTAATACTTGAAATAGGAAAATAAATCAAACTATAAGATAAAACGTTTCTCAAACAATGTAATTATTTGTGTAATATCATTTAATTTATTTTCTATTAAATGTTAAGTACGTCATAACATGGTTAATATCGAATTTCTCATCTCTCTAATGCTGTACACTATTCACACGCACTCTGCACTCTTTAACGCCTCGATTTACAATGGCCGCTCTTCGCTCAGTGTAACATTTAAATCGAACTCATACTTACCAACATACTGTGAAAAATACTGTTTCGAATTCTATTTTACTATATCACGTTGGTAATTATGAGCACGTTTTAAATATGTTGAACTGAACGAAGAGCGGCCATTGCAACTTGAGGCGTCAGAATGTGCGGAGTGAGTGTAGTGTGGAGCGGTGGAGTTGATAATCGATTTAGAGCCAGATTCGCAAAAGTTAGTGTTGGATCGATGATTGAATTAAAATTGAAATTTTCGAACGACATCAGTTATGGATGACAATACCACCAAGAGTTGATGCTTTTCTAATATACTACAATTAAAATTGATGCTTGGGAGTTGGAAAACCAAACGCAGATAATCAGTGCAAGAATTACTATATCTTCTTTTTTAAAGACTGATTTTTACAAATTCAAAGAAGCCTGATTTGGCTTGGCTTATGAACCTTAGTATACATTAGTGTTTTTAATATTTTTTAAATTTCATCACATGATTTAGATACAAATTGACGTTCGATTTGCTTTATAATTTGATTCTATTCTTGTCTTGTTGTACATTATTCATCTTTCTGAATATTTACTGTTTCCTTATTTTACTGTTTTACCAGAACTTAGTATAAATTAGTGTCTTTAATATTTTTTTTTAATTTGAACATCAAATTCACGTACAAATTGACATTCTATTTGCTCTAAAATTTGTTTCTAGTTTTCTCTTAGTGTTGCATATTTTTGTACATACCGATCGAAGCCAAAAATCGAAAATGGATTTATTTCAAATAATAATGCTCATATTAATTATCTGCATTATTAATTTGCTCTTAGCATATTCTAGACTTAATAGTTTTCTTTTGTATTTGGATCAATATACTACCAATGAAACTGCTGTAGAAAGCTCCTCTTACCATATTTACAATTACACCAAATTTATGAATTATTCCAAGTTTTTTTAAAGTTATATAAACATTGAATATTAAAGCTGAACAAATCACTTCTGAATACTGCGGAAATGAATATATCCGTTATGTCACTGTAATCAATTCCAAAGTGCAGCGATCAACACCCGAATCGATTGCAACTGTTCAGGAAAATTCACTATAAATATCTTGGAACATGTTATACGGTAAGCTGGAAAATTTGGTCATTACTCGTGAAATAATTAATACCCATACTTTGAATGCAATTTTTTATATAGTAGGTAGATTTAATTCAAATTCGACACGTATCCAACTGACAGCTTCTATTTCTTTACTTCAATTTTTTTCGTTTCTTTTATCTACTTCTGCTACTTCTTTACTTTCTTTACGTAAGGGCACGAAGGGGGGCACAAGACTGTAAAGCTCCTAAAAAGAGAAACATTTTTAGAAATTCTTTAAAGGGACTCTATACGATGAATCCATTTGAGACTTTTACCGTATTTTATTAGACATTTAAACAAACAGAAACTGGTCTCATTAAAAAGCATCTGCTGCTGTTTGGTTAAAACTTTATGATCAGGGCGTATATTTGAAATCAAAAAACGAAAAATATTCTTATACTAGATACCTTTGGCTATGTCTTGACATAGGATCAATTCAATTGTTCATAAAACTAGAAAATGGTAGACATTCGAAGGAAAATTTAAAAATTTTCCTTCAATATAGAAAATGTAATATTCAGTATAAAATACGCTCCGCATTTTCCTTTATATGAGAATTATTACCTCGTGCAGTTTTACGACTCCCCTTTCTTTCTTTATTAAGTCTCTGTCTTTTGTTATTACTTTTCATTTTACTCATCGTGTGTACCTTTTCTTACCTCAATACCTGTATGCACGAACATTTTATTTAGAGAGTTTGTATGTGTTGCGTGCTGGTGATTGCTTTTTCTTGTGCTTTAATGTATGTGAAGATAAACTTACATACCCATGCCCATATTACTTTCAGTTTCCTTGAGCGTAAACAGGGGTGTAGGCGTTCCAATAACTCAACGCTCCCGCGTAATCGTACGTCGAGGCGTAATACAGGATAGACTATATGATACGCGATTAAATCACACACTTAATATCGTGCGGCTCAAAGGAGCAATCGGCTGACTACTTTATTCGATGCGATATATATATTATTTCGAAGGGGGTGTGCACTACGTGTTTTCCGTCCCAATAAATTACATTCATTACGACATAAGTGAAACACGAAATACAAAGTGAGAAAAACAACTCTGAAAATCTACCAGACACGTTCTAGAATCGTCCAAAAAAAGAATGTAGAAGATCTTCAAAAGAAAGGGAGGAGGACAGGGTCAATGCAAAATGTTTAAAGCGATTCAATGTTTCAAGGAATTGAGAATCCTATATCTGGAATAAATATAAAAATAAATTAATAATGGCAGGGTTTATATGTGCTAATGAAATCACTAGAGGCAATTGAAATTTTTGTTACTTGATGGGGAAGACTCAAACTCGTTTCATCCACACTTTTATCTTGGTGGTAGTATAAATCATGATGTAACAAGTATGAAGATGTGCATAGATTCAAAAATATACAAGATATCAACAATAGTAAAAATTTCTTCATAAAGGCACACTTTTCTCAGAAACGGTTAGCCCGATATTAACAAAATTTTACACACTTGTTTTTTAATAGTAAGACTTAATTTAGACCGAGAATTTTTTTAATATTTTGATTTTTAAAATAGCTACCACTTCGCAAACTTTTCCACTTTTTTTTTCAACTTTCTAAACAATTCTCTGTCTGTCCTTAGTCCTACCATTTCTGTACATTATGTAAAGTGAAAAATTAAGAAAAATCAATTAGGTCTAGAGATAAGTGCACCTTTGTACCAAAAACCTAACTTTTCAAGAGACTTGATTATCGATATAAATGTTATCTAATCGTATTTCTTTTATAAAAATCAATTAACACTGTTTTTTTATATTGTACTGTCTTTTTTATCCTAGAAAACAATATTCCGGCCTTCCACAAATTTGACTGTGCATTATTATCTCTCTATTTTTTGTTACCACTTCCAATGCTCCAAATTAAATTCTGATTGCACAGGACTGTTCGGAATCGAAAAACACGTAAAAATCGTTTTTATTATAAAAATGATAACTTGGGCGATACGTTTATAGCATATTAATTACATATCTTGGCACTTAGGGCGAAACGCTGTAAATTTGCCTGGCAGTGAATGAATTTTAGTCTAGCACGCCCGTACCTATTCAACACATTTCCAAAAATGTTTCTCTCGCCAACAAAATACACAAAACAATTCTATCGAATACTTCGATTTCTTTTAGCATCCAAAGTCACACTTTCCTTATCCATGTACATTCAAATTTCTAAGACACCCTGTACAATAAAAAAGCATGCGTCGCTCACAAACGATAATTTCAATCGCGTATTCTTAATCGTTCACTTGTAGCAGATGAAATCTCATTACACCAATGTACGGATATGTACGTGTAACGTATCCGTTAGGCATACCTAATGTCCTGCAGTTAATGTTTATCGTATTAATATTCACTATAGTGGATGTGTAAACCGACGGGATCCATAAGTGGCTGATTAACATGTATTCGAGAATTGCCCACAGGTAAGTAACGCGATCCAGCGCATAATGGTAATATCGTTTGATAGTTAATTAACCAATCTGCAACGTCATACAGTTTCATAAATCGCTGATTTAATTAATCCTTGTTGAACAGGATTATCAGGGATATGGAGGCAAATGGGCGGCACGAATCGACGCATGCACTTTGCTTCGTGCACTCGACTTTGAACTCGTAAAATATCTTTGCACCGAAACTTTAAGATTAAATGAAAGGAAACAATTTAATAGCGTTTCAATTACAAGTGAGTCATCCACGGATAAATGTTTCAGCGTTTCATAATTGCGCTCTTGCCCTGACTCCATTTTCCTCTGTCCTCTTCAAACTAATATATCTATTCTTCGATACCTGTTTTCTTTATTTATGAGGTGTTTTCCAAAAGGGGATCTAGGATTTTGTTTTCCAATATCAAAATACGTTTGTCAGCGTAGGTGTTGAAGATACTTAAACATCATCTTCAATGTTTAATTGTGCTCATGTGTGCTTTCTTTTAAAATAAACAAAACTGGAATATATTTCATAACACCTGTTGGCGCCAGGACTTAAAACTAATGTGTAATCTATGTTATTATTTTAATGCAACATGGATTTTCAATTAAAAAGTCTGAAAAAATTCTGAGAGATGTGTCTCTTTGTCTTGCATATCTCTGATATTCTCTAATAATATCAGTGAAATCGGATAAAATTCTGTATTGATGTTTCCACCTCTTTACCCCTCTCCCCTCAATTGAAATAAGGACTTGAAACTTGTCTTTTTGCAAACTCGTCTAGTATAACTAATTCTATTCAGATATTCAGATTGATATCTCACAATCAGCATTATCGTCTTAACTATATGTAGAGACTTTTGTAATACTTGTACCAGTTATAATCCCCTTGTTTAATTTTATTGACTATAATAAACTTGTGTTTTAAATTAATGTTACCTTCTTTCTCGTATTCCTAATAACGATATTTCTATATTATCTGGAATAATTAATGGGATCATAGAATTCATTCATTTCATTTGTAAGCGTTATATTATGATCTGAAAAGTGGTTTCTGCAACTCCATAATTAGAATTATAAAATCACTTTATTAGATGCAATTGAGTAACCATTAATAACAACCGTATGACTGACGTTGGATTTTCCTTTTACCCGCACCTTATGATCACAATATTAATGTAAAAATGCTTATCTAGTTCAACAGTTCTAAATATTTATATTCGTCATACCATACACAATCATTTGTAATTGTTTTGAAGATTTTTTATTTTTATTATTAAAAAAAGAGCTTATTTAATTTTTTAAAAAAGAACATCAATCATTACTACGTTGCATATATTGGTTTTTCAATTTACCTGTTTCAAACATAATTTTTCAATACAAACATATTAAAATCTAGTTACATATAATTATGTAAGATTGATCTTGAATATTCGCCACATTCTATCAAACTTGCTGAAAAGATGCAAAGTCACTCATCTCATTATGTTTGCATCGATATGATAATCAAATTCAACAAATTAAAACTGTGTTTTGCGTGTCAAAGGATTATTATCAGTTTCCGTATACATCTCAATCTGTTCTAAAAGTAAACATCATTAAGATAAGTTGAGATTCATAAAAAAATGACTTATTACAAAAATTTTACCAATGGCCAATATTTCAACTGTCCACAGCATTTTTTAATTAACGAGTTATTAAATTAATTATGAAAGATGTGTTCAAGCATAGCAAAAATCTTGTCTATCAAAATGATTGAAAAACAATGAAAATTGAAGCAATAGCACATATTTTTGTAAAATATTACAAAAAAAAAACGTATTTTTCTTCTTAGGAAAATTTAATTACGAAATGTATGTTTATTAACTCAAAGTGTTTATTCTAGTAGACATGATAACTACATGAATACTGAATAGCCATCCGGACATAATTTTATTTTTTTTTGTTTCAGACAAATGAGTTACGAGATACCTCATTTTCAATTTAAAACAAAAATACAACTTTGAATGTGCAAGAAACTACATTGTGCAAGAAACTACATTATGCACGAATATAAAAAAGATTGAAAATAAAGTTCATGTTATAATATTTGCTGAATAAAATAAATTCCTATTTAGGTTCAATTTTTATAGGCACGTTCGCGAAGATTTTATTTTGCATAAAGATCCGCAGTCTAATTATTAATCTTCGTGTTCATAGTAGAAAGCGCCGAGGAAAAGATAACCCTATTCGTGTTGCTCGAACCAAGAAGATTACATTTTCATATCGAGTTTTGGTACTGTTAAACACTATTCGCAAAATTCACTCACAAGGTGTCCAAGTGAAATTAGATTAAGCTCAAGCAGCAAAGATGACTCAAAAGGGAACATCCTAACAACTACTGAAGTTAGATGAGATTCTTAAGACACGTTCTCGATGACTTGATTAACGAAATAGGACCTAGATATTTAGTTCATCATACTCTTTTGAATTAGTGCGCTAGAAAGGAGATGTCCCTAATAGTTAATAAGTAGGATTGATTATAGGTCTTGGTATTGAAGAGTGAACCTCTAAGAGTACTGTATTAAATTCTAGTAAGAAACAACCCCACAAGGAAATGTTTTTAATAACGTTTAAGATTGGAGTTGACTCAAGCTTCATCTACCTTCCCCGAATGAATCGGACAAAGAAAAAAAGGGGTAGTTCTGGCAACATCAAGTCTCCTGGCTCGTTTTTAATGGAAAGTAACTAACTTGTTTAATTATTTCCAGATCTAAAAGGTTATAGGCATTATTCTGTCCCAAAAATGTTTGTGTTGTATATTGGAGTATCTCGCACTAAACGTCTTATTGTTACATTTATATGTTAGATAACCTGATAGTGTTACCTCAAGCTTCACTATCAAGAAAACCCCAAAACGAAAAATTCTTAACAACGCTTAAAACTAGAGTTAAATAAGTCTTCAAGGTCTCAACCTCAATAAATCAGACGAAGAGAGGGGTAGTTCTTGCAGCATCGAGTCCCCTGGCTCGTTTTCGATGGAAAGTAGTTAACTGGTTCAACTATCTCCAGACCTAGAAGGTCGTAAGCATTATTCAACCCCAAGAGCTCGATTGCGCGAAACGGATGGTATACGATCTGAAAAGAGAAAGAAGGAAAACCACGCGGAACGGCTAGAAAGTACGAGTTCCACGCGTATGCAAAACGAACGGCAGTCTGCCCGTGGACTTTTTTTTTCACAGAAGAAACGAAACGATTTCATCGAATGAGGTCTGGGTGAGTTCAATGCCTCTCCCTCTCTCTTTTCATCCGTGGAAAAGACGGCGATGGTTGCGGTGGTCGGCTACCGAGAGCAACACATGCATCGACACCTCCACGATTACTCATGTCCGGGCGAGGCGATCAACGCGAAACAGAAAGCAATTCGACCTCGGCCGGAACCAAACTCAAGGACCAATTATCCAGCTACTGGTAGATCGTTTTGCGATCTAGGCGTCACGCGGTGCGGCAATCGGTAGACAAAAATTGAAAAACCAACTAGTGGTGTGACAGAATTGGCCATTTTCGTTCGAAGACATTTTCCTTAGGGCGAACTAAAACTGGAATAGGAAGTGTGAGGGAATTATTGTGTTTTGTCCAGTTTTACAATCTCTAGGAAACAATATTATCATTTTTGTTAATATCACAATAAAATATCAGTATGAAGCGAATTCATAAATATACTATTCTCTTTTATTCTCATTCTATGATCCATGCACATTTATTAAAAATTTTCAAAAAATAGTGTGAATCACTAGATATGTTTAATACAAAGAGTCTTAACTATTGAAGCAATTTTATAATTGAACTTTTTAGTTTTTGAAAGTATATATTATAAATTATGTATTAAATAAAATATTTCAAAAGAAGTATACATCCGAAGAATTAAATTTTCAATTACATTTGCATGCGAATAATAACCCAAGTCTCACAGTCCCCTAATACTAATATATTCTGTTTCCCCCTTAATGTGTTAACCAATGTCTCTACATTATATCGCACAATTTATATACATACAAATACGTATTAAAAAAGTACGATACTCTTAATAAAAATATCGATTTATTATGTCCTCTTTCGTAAATTGATGCAATTGGCAAATCTACATCCAAGTGTCTCCAAGATCTTAATCCAGAGTTGACTTTATAAACAAGTTCTCGAGAAGTAGACAGACTGACCGAATTCAGACGAGGACACCGCGACTTCAACCTAATCGATTACCGACACGTCGACGAAAACGTCTGGCGTGATTCATGAGAGATTTGCGAGATCGCAGGTATCTAAATATAGCTCAATGGAAAAGGTGATGTTAATGTCTTCTGCGTGTGGATTACAGGGGGATTTACTTACTTACGACATTTTCTCGGTCGTTGACCAACATCCACGTTTTCCTCTACGAGGGAATTATATGAAATCTGAGAATATAATTGCACGCGATGCAAATTCACCGTGTCGATAGAGCTTCATACTCGGTGATTAAACGTAGTTTTGCTCGCGAAACGACTACGCTCGGCGATTGAACGTAATCATCCACGGTGCAATGAAATTTCAAGAATTAGACGATGTTAATTACATTTAGACCTGATGGGAACCATGGAGACAGTGTCAAACATTATCACAGGGTGAACCAGCCTGGTTGATTGGTCAGGATCTCGCAACGAAATTTTAAGGATTGGGGGACGTTAATATTAATCTAGAAAAAAAATAGAAAAAATAGCCTCCCCGTATATGCCTGGCACTGGCGCTACCGCGTATCTTATACTCGAGAAAACGCGATTCCAACCTAACCCAAAACTTCTGTCATAAATATCTCGTCACGCCTGCTGTATTTTCTAAAACCAAAATCAATAAAATCGGTCTATGTATAACTGAGATATCGTAATATCATGTCATGAATCTGTCAGAAATTGTAGATTTTTCTTCTGATTCTGATTCTTATTCTTTTCATCGACACTTAGCCAATAGGAGCTAAGGCCGTTCGTCGATTCGTCGACTCTCGGAATCAGTCGGCAAGGCTCGTCGATCGGAATTGTAATATGGCTGTCACTCATGCCGCTCGTTCATTTCTAACTTCTAACTGTCAGTTTGGATTTGTGACATTTGGTTTCTTGCAACAAGACTATCTGACATGCTTTGTGCGTACTTTTGAAAACTCAAAGGACTGAAACTGGAATTATAATACAATAAATTGTGCGTTACCAATAGTGGATCTCTTTGTACATTTTCCCACTTTATTTATTAACATTTAAATTTGTTACAACAAGATTTTCTGCCAAGATTTTGTGCATACTTGTGAATTTTATTCTAATACAATAAATTGTGCATTACACATACTGGATTTCTTTCTTTATTTCTCATTTCATGTTTAACATTTCAATTTCTAGCAACAAGACTTTCTGCCATGCGTTCTGTGTGCTGTTGAAAACTTAAGGGACTGAATCTGGTATTGTAATATCATAAATTGTACGTTATTCATATGACATTAATTTTATTTGTAAATAACACATACAAACCTTATTTTACTTGCTAATTAATATAGAGCTTAAAATAAAAATGCATTTGTCTTTTATTGTAGTAAGCGTAGAGTCTACAATATACATAATGTGTCTGAAGCCAGATATAGGAAAGAGATCAGCTTCAGTTCTTTAAGTTTCCAAAAGTATACAGAACGCATGGCAAGGTGTCTCACTGCAAGAAATTTAAATGTTAAAGATGAAGTGAAAAATGAAAAAAAGAAATCAACTATTTGTAACGCATAATTTATTGTATTAGAATAAAGTTCAGAAGTACGCAGAACGCGTGGCAGAAAGTCTTGTTGCAAGAAATTCGAATGTTAAAGATAAAGCGTAAAATGAAAAAAGAAATCCACAATGCACAATCTAAATGCACAAATTACAAGCCAGGCTGGAAGCCAAGCATTTGACTTCCAGACCACGGACATCTAGGCAAATGTCTAAACAGTCTCAGTTTGTGGTTGATACACTATTTAGCTTCTTCATTTCACCGCCAAAGTGCGGAGCAGTCAGTTTACATGAGTTCTCATTAGGGTCCGAACGTCTGCACTGTTGAACACAGCATTTTAGCTGCGCATAGTTGGATAGCACCGAATTTTTCATTGTGTTATACAGTGCCGCCTTTGCACTTTGCTGGAAAGCACCTTCATGTACTGGCAGCTCATTTCGATTTCACTTCTTTTTCTATTTTCTTTAATTTTTTTAGGGGGATCTTCTATTTTTCTATGATTACTCTTTAAGTCCTCCACTTTTTCATGTACTTGGCGTAATTTTTTTACTTTTTAGATTTAGATTCGATAAAAACCATAGAGGCAAAACACTATCACAGGGTGAAGCAGATTAAGCATTTAGCCAGGACCTCATAACAAAGTTTTAAGAATTAGGGGACGTCAATATTAATTCGATTTAGATTCGATAAAAACGATAGTATTTATAAAAATCCCTTTTCTTTTTTTAATTTCTACCACCACTATAGCTACAAGAAAAATTGATTTATAATAATATTATCAATAATATTCTAAAAACATAATAGTGAAAATCATAAAATAATTATTTTGTTTAAATATATTTATACGAGGTGAGACAGCTAAACTGGTATAGAGCGATAATGCCTAAAGTATCATAGATACAAAAAAGTCTTACAGGAAAAAGTTAGAAGGTTCGAAGAGGCCTATCTTATATTGCTTTTTCTTTATCCAGATGCTGAGACTGCATCAAGGTCACCGACACTTTTTTAAATGGAACCATGGGATTATGTTTACACATTATGAAAGGCGACGTTAAAACGAATCCATCGACCTATAATACATGGCCATTCAAGGTTATGCATTGATCGATTTAACCCTTCAACAACAACGCGACATTCAGTGCCGGCCATATACTTACGTATAGTTAATAAAATTAAATATTATTTCCTGTTCACTTGTACATTACTTGTATTAGTTAAGCCAGTATAAGAAAATCAGTTACATTTTTTATAAATTTACAATATACGTAATAAGATGTGAAAATAGCTTTCCTTAATTTACTATAATTAAAAAGTTACTTATATTTTTATAACGAAGTGCCAAGTTTTCTGTGAACACATACTTAAGTACATATCGAAACGCCTATATTGTCACATGTTTTTTTAACTCATAATTATAATACATTAATATTTCGTATGTAAACCCTTATTTTTGATAACTGCAAGCACACCTCCGCGGCATGGATTCATTTGCTGAGTGTTTCGGATCATTATCCGTTTGATAGTTCCATTTCTTTGGCATGTATTCTTTGGCGAATAGAAACAATACATTTTTTACAATATCCAAATATACGTATCGGTCCATGATTCCAGTTATCCGATGAATAGGACCTGTATCTTTTACTGTCATAGCCCCCCAAACAAATACCGATCCACCACCACCTTTTACAGTCGGTTTAATGCAATTGTTATTAAATTCTTTTCCTTTGCGACATCTCACGTATACTTTGTCATCAGATCCAAATCGATTAAATTTTGATTCATCTGTAAAAATTACTCTGGACCATTGCTGGGGCGTTCAGTTTAAATGTTCTTTCGCGAAAGCAATCCTAGCCCGACGATTTTTTTCTGAAATGAACAGTTTCTTTCTGGCAACGCGTCCGTATAATTGAAACTCATTAAGTCTTCGCTGGACAGTTCTAATACTTCTTTTTTTATGAAGATCCATTCCATCGTGGATGGCAACTGCAGTTTTGAATCTGTCCGTTTCAGATAATCGGTGAATCTTGCGATCAGTTCTTTGATCAGTTTTTCGAGGTTTTGCTTTACGAAGAACATTTTCTGATGTTCCATGATGCTTAATATGTTGTAAAGCTTGATGGCAAGCCTTAACGGATATTTCTAATTTTGTGGAAATCTTTCGGTAGAACATTCCATCCGTCCGAAACTGTTGTACTAGTCGCCATTGTTCTGGCGTGATATTTTTTCTTTTACTCATCACAGCACTATTGTAATACGTCTAACTGTAAACACTGCTGAGCAGATACTGGTAAATCTAGAGACGTGGTAGCGTCTCGAGGCCAAGTACATGAAACATTATCCGTCACCGCGTATTTATGGCGTTGAAGCTACTGCGTATCATTTACAGGAGAGATGGTCCATTCCAACCTAACCTGAAACTTCTTTCATGAATATCTCAACACGCCTGCAATATTTTCTAAATTTAAAAGCACTTTTCTGATGTAAACCGCATATAAGCTTTCGAATAAAACCAAAATCAATAAAATTGGTCCACGTGCAACTGAGATATCGTAATATCATGTCACGAATCTGTCAGAAACAGTATTTTTCGTATGATTTTCTCGTCGTCAACCCTTAGTCAATAGGAGCTAAGCAAAAGTCGAGTGTCGATCGTCGACTCTCGGAATCATTCGGTTCGCCATGGCTCGTCGGCCATCGAGCGTCGAGAGTTGAAACAGATGTCATCATTTATAACCTGTCAAGTGTCAAAAGCTTTTGCACTATTGCATTATTAATTATATTTATATCAGCAAAATGTTTTCAATTTAGACTTTCTATGTAAGGGTTTAATAACAAATTGCAGCCAGTGTTGTAAAGTGTTGATCGATCTTGACTATAAGGTAAGTTGTCAAAATCTGAATTCCGAGATACCTTTATTCATACAGAATAG